CATAATGGCTATTAATAATTTATAGTCCTATCAACAATGTTAAGACTTTAGTATTTATTATTTTAAAATCTTTGATGATAGCCATTCTACCAGATACAATTTTGATGTGCATTTTCCCATGATTATCATTTCTCATATACTTGGTTGCTATTTGTATGTCTTCTTTTGAGAAATGTCTATTCAGATTATTTTCCTAATTTTATCAGATTATATGGATTTGCTCTTAAATATATATATATATATATATATATATATATATATATATATATATATGTATGTATGTATATATACCAGTGTATTCTGAATATTAATCCCTCTGGTAGGTTTTTCTTACACATACCATGAGTAAGGACTTTGGCTCAGGACCCAAGGGGATTCTCCTATAGCTCTCTAGAGTATCATGTCTGCACAGCTCTCTCCTGTCCCATAGACTTCCCTGAAAACTTTACTTCCTTGATCTCTCCAGTTTCCCAGCTCTATTTTTTTTTTAATTCAAAGAGATCACAGGGTCCTGCCTGGATTCCTTCTCCCCCAGCATAACCTGCAAGCCCTCTGTGCTGTATGTAAGCTAAGTCCTGCACAGAACTCCCATCATTTGTCTCCTTTCTCAGTATCACTGCCTTTCCTTGACTGACATCCATCATCTTCAAACACTAATGTGTCAGTAGCCAGTTTTAAAAGTTTTCTCTAGTGGGTCCCTGTAATTTCATCTTGTCCCTCATTCTTATTCTTGAATGATATTTTTGCTGGAGACAATTGGGACTAGTACTTACCTTTTTCAAAACATTTGAAAAGAATTTTAACTAGTTTCCAGTTCCTGTTGCTGCTGCCGAGAGGTCAGCTGTCTTTCTTTTTTGAGTCCTTTTCTCTTTGAATATTTTTAAGATCTTCTCTTTGCCTTTGGCATACTACAGTTTCACTATGATGTATCTAAGTATGGATTTATTTTTTCTGTTTCTTAAATTGAGCTTCTTGAATCTTCCGAGTCTGCTTCTCATTAATTCTCAAAAAGTTTCAACCATTATCTCTTCAAATATGTTATCTTTTAAAAAAATTTTTATTATTCATTTATTCACATGTGCATACATTGTTTGGGTCATTTCTCTCCCCTCCCCTCACTTCCTCCCCCCCACCCTCTTCTCCCCACTCACTTCCAGGCAGAACATGTTCTGCCCTTATCTCTAATTTTGTTGAAGAGAAGACATAAACATAATAAGGAAGACAAAGCATTTTTGCTACTTGAGTAAAGGATAGATATACAGAAAGATTTCCTAGCATTGCTTTCATGTACAAATGTGTTACAACCCAAGTTGATTCATCTCTAACTGATCTTTACACTGGTTCCTGATCCCCTTCTCATGTTAATCTCTGTCACTTTAAGGTTTCTGTATTAGTTCCTCTGGAGTGGAGACATCAGCACTTTCATGTTTTGGGTTTTCTACCTATTCCCATATCTCCCATACGTGCTATGTTGTCTTGATGCTATTCATTCTTTCCTCTTGAAACAAACTTTTGTTGGATAAAAAAAAACTATAAAAGAAAAATACACTAACTGTACTTGTTAAAATTAGGATCACTTGATTAAAAAACAGTTAATAAAAGTGAAAAGACAGGCTATATAGAATGAGCTAATATGTTTGTAGCAAATGTAACTGACAATGACTTATATTCAGTATATTATAAAGAACTCTTACAAATCAGTAAGAAAGAAATGGGTACAATAGAAAATTTACAAGAATCTCACAGAGTTACCTTTGAAAGCATATATACAAATGCCAAATGAATGAAAATGGTTTTCTTTCTTGTTGTTGACACAGGGTCTTGCTATGTTGCCCAGTCTGTCCTCAAACTCCTAATCCTCTTGCCTTTGCCTCCTGAGTTCTGGGATTACAGGTGTGTACTACCACACTTAGCTTTAAAAGGTTTTAAATTTCATGAATTGTAAGAAAATTGAGAATTTTAACCACAGAAGATACCACTGTGCACACAAAATGACCAAGTTTAAACTAATAGTGTAACACCTGGGGATATGATGCAAGTAGAATATGATGCTATAATTGAAAAATTGTCTCTTTTTACTACTGTCCAATATTCTTACGATAATGACCTAGACATTCCATTCTTAATTATACTTAGGCAAAATTTATACATATACATATAATTTTTTATGAGTATGCATCAAAAGACTTATAGCAGCATTATTTGCAATAGTCAAGAACTAAAACAACCTAAATGTCCCTCAAAGACATCATGGGAGTGGATAAAGAAGCTGAAATATTCATGTACTGGAAAACTATGCAACAATGAAAGTAAATCATTACTGCCATCAGTCACACATGTGTGAATCTGACTGTTTCAGTGAAAAAATGAATTTACCCTTGATCTCTACTTCTGTAATTTTCAAATAGATGCAAGAGTATCAGCTTTGAAAGTATAAACAAAGTAAAGCCTAGGAAAAGGAATTATGGGGCTCACTCATTTTGTGTTACAGCATAGTCATTTTGAAAATTTATTAGCCTATGTACATTGTGACTTAAACTTTTCTGTATAAACTTTTCCTTCCATATGCATGGGTTCTATACCTGCATATTCAATCAGCCTCTGATCAAAAGTATTTGAAAAAAAATTGTGTCTGTTCTGAATATGTTCATTCATTAAGTGGTACCAAAAACACCAGGGAGACCCACTTTTATATTGGATGATTTGGCTAGGCCTCTTTGAGAAAAAATTATGTAAGACAAATGAAGAAGAAAGGGTAAAAGATTGAAAAGGTCTCTAAGACTAAGGACATGCTAGAGTTTGATCAGTCTTCATCCCAAGATCTATGGGCAGCCATATAAGGGTTATTAGCAGGCCAGTTATATGATTCAGGTTATCAAATAATTACTCTGTCTACACTGTGAATCATCGATTTGAAAGTGAACCAAAGATGAATGAAGCTGCACCATATCAAAGGTATTGCAATGCTCCAGGAAAAAAAATAATGGTACAGTTAGATCACTAGGGGTCTGCCACTTGTTATGTAAACAGTGTCTGTCCCAGTCACTCAGCCTGACATTGTAGCATGGCAGTAACCATAGACAATACATATAGATAATACATAAGCGAACAAGTATGAACACACACACACAGGAAATTAATGTGAGTCAACTCCCTGTATAGCTATCCTTATCTCAACCAGCAAAAACACTTGTTCCTTCCTATTATTGCTTATACTCTCTCTTCAACAAAATTAGAGATAAGGGCAAAATAGTTTCTGCTGGGTATTGAGGGGGTGGGAGGAGAGGGAGTGGGCGGAGTGGGTGGTAAGGGAGGGGGTGGGGGCAGGGGGGAGAAATGACCCAAGCCTTGAATGCACATATGAATAATAAAACAATAAAAAAAAAAAGGTATTTGAAGTCAAAAAAAAAAAAAGCAGGTGGTGTGGTTTGCTAATCTGATTTAGAGGAGGAAAATGGAAGTGCATTTTAGAACTGTTTGGAAATAAACTTAACAGAATATGGATTGAATGTTAAGAGTGTAGATGAGAGGAGAGGTTTAAAAGATGACTTATTTTTTAAAAAAAAATTTGTATTATGGCATGTTTGTTATATGGGGCAAGGGGGAGATTCATAGTGACAATTCTGATTAGACTTGTATTGTACATTAGTTGTATCACCCCCATCAACTCTCCCCCTCAACCTCCTCCCAGCCTCACTTAAAGCAATTGCAAGAGGGTTTCTTTGTTCCATTTCATATAGGTATATGAAGTCCATCAACCATATACCCTCACGTTAATCGCTTTCATTTACCCTCCCCCCTCCCACTAGTATACCCATCCACACACACACACATTGTACCAGTTTTACAGTCCTGTCTTTCGTTATTAACATTTAAGTTGATGTTCAAAGGAATTTCTCAATATATGCCCACTGTGGGTATACTTTACTTTGGTCCATTCAACCTCTCCATTACTCTTCCTTACCCCTTTTCCTCCCACCCCCCCATTTTGCAACAACTTTCAATACACATCCTTATATCCTCTACCTTCACATCTTATGTTTTACGGTATTACTGGTACTCTATCATTCTCTTTTCCTTTCCCTCTTTCCCCAAGTTCCATAGAATAGCTCTACTATTACAATCATGTTCTACATCTGAGTTTGTGTATTATCATGCTTGGTTTTGAATATATGCTTATCTTTTGAATCTATCTTCTATATGAGACCTTTGAGTTTCTGATCGTGGCTTACTTCACTTAACATTATGTCCTCCAATTGCATCCACTTACCTTCAAACCATATGTCATTATTCCTTATGGCTGAGTAAAACTCCATTGCATATATATACACCACATTTAACATGATTTCTTGGCTTCTGGTGTTGGTTTGGGAACAAGTTAGTTGAACATCTTAAAAGATGCAAGACATGCAAGATTCCATGTCAATATATCAATGTCACTCACATCTATAAATACTTTAGTACTTTTACACACACCCATTACACAAAAATTAAAGTGGGAAAACAAAAGAATCAATGGCATTGATCAGTTCTATTTTCTGCTGGTATGAGAAAAATATTAATATTTAAAAATACAAAAATACATAACTATATCTGTATTCTCAGGCTATCATCAATAGCCTTATTTTCTCCACCTAAGTGTGTCTGTCACCCCCCCACACCTTTGTTCCCAACTGCCCCCCTTATTGCGGTAACTCAGAGCATACAAACATTAGAGGAATTGTGTATTGATTCTTCTTGTACACCACTGGCATGGAAGGTGGAGGTGCAACTAAGTAAAGCTGCCCAAAGGACTGGCAGAGTGGCTCAAGTAGTGTAAAGCTGCCCATGGTTCAGAAGGACTGTTTCCCACCCAGTTTGCAGAGGAACCTTTTCAATTAGTCACTGTATTATCATTAGTATGTGAAAATGTGATAACATGATTTTGATTTTACTTATACTTTGATATGTTTGGGGTTTCACATTTGGTTAATGGTTTTACCAATTTTTGAATTTTGTAGGCTTTGCTTTCTGTACATGATACTGTGGCTCAAAAGAATTATGATCCTGTACTGCCTCCTATGCCTGATGATATTGATGATGAAGAAGACTCTGTAAAAATAATCCGTCTGGTCAAGAATAGAGAACCATTGGTGAGATTGCTGTCCATTTTATGTTCAGATATGAATAAATATTCTGGTGAGGCCAACTTGAATGCATGTGTACCATTTATTCCTATTTTTAAAATATGCTTCCTCTGTGTCTTCAGACTTTTAATGTAGATGGAACATTCATGTCAAAAGAACAAAAACATTTCACATGAAGCCAAATAAAATAACAGGCATTCTGTTAGTTATTAATTGCAATAATTTCAAAAATATGACCTATTGACATTTATAAGAGAAAATGTAACATGCACCAACTATGACTGATTGGAGAGTAAATGGTGCAAATTAAAAATTGCTTTGACTATTCTGAAGTTTATTATTTTAAAATAATAAAGAGATAGTTATTCAGCTCTCTGATATTTCAAAATGTAAATGTAGCCATTTTTTTTAGCACCAGAATTTATTTGAACTATGTCCAGGGGTCTATGGTAGGTGGGATGACACACCGCTTGCTACCAAAGGTGTCCTGCCCTACTCCTGAGAACCTGTGAATATGTTACTGTATATGGCAGGACTTTTCCTGATTTAGTGAAGGATCTCCAGGTGGAGAGGTTGTTCTGGATTATCCAGTTGGCCCCATGTAATCAGAGGGCTCTTGGAGAAGTAAACAAGGAAGGCAGTAGGGTCAGAGTCAGAAAAGGAAATGTGATTGTGGAAGTACAGGTTGGAGTGATGGATATGGTGATGAGCCAAGGAATGCAGAAGGCTAGCAAGGACTGGATTTTCCTCTCGAGTCTTCAGAAGGTTTGCAGCCCTTCTGTATTCTTGCGTTTAGCCCTGTAAGACCCATTTGACTTTCTGACCTCCAGGACTGTAAGGTTATAAATTGGTATTGTTTTAAATCACTGAATTTATGGTGATTTGTTACAGCAGCAATAGCAAACTAACATGGGGAAATCCGTATTTTCATCAAACTACCTTAAAAATAATTAAAATACATAGTCTAGCAGTTGATTTTAAATGTGTCGTGTCTGATTTGTCCTAATTAAAACACCTTTGTGTTCTTAAAGCAAATAGTGGTTGATAATACAACATTTACCAGCACCATGTCAAGTACTTTACATATATTTAATCCTTACAGTTGGTGTACTTTTTTTCTATTTTGTAGTCTGGAAAACTGATATTCATAGAACTGAAGCAGCTTACTCAAAATATCACAGATAGTGAGTGATAAAACTAGCATCTAAACTTATGTCTTTCCAGCTGTTTTTTCCTACACTTTATTGTATCTTTATACCATTTTCTTTTTGATAGTTTTTATTTTCTCATTTTATTAGCATATAATACTTGTACAGGAGGGCGTACTTTGTGACATTTACATATATGCTTGCAATATATCTAAATTAGATTCACCCACTCCATCATTCTCCTCCCATCCCCCTTCCATCCCTTCTTAGAACAACTTCAACAGATTTCATTGTTCCATTTTCATACAAAATACAAAGTATATCCACTGTATTTGCCCTCCTTCACCCTCTTCATTAAGAGTACCTTAAATATATTGATAAATGCATTGGATTCTCTTACCCAGAAAAATATACAAATGAAATTGCATATTGTTGAAAGAGATTTTACTGAGTCTTTGAAGCTTATCCATGAACATACTAGGCCTCCCTGTATTCTTGGTTGATTATTTAATCTTATAAAAACATGCTTTTCATCCACAGTTATAACTCTGAAATGGCAACCTAAGTACCTCCTGATTTTTTTTTTTTTTTTATGGAAACATACATAGTAAGTCAGAATTGATGGTGTTCACTGTTGGATGTAGGGGAAGCTATCTCAGGGCCCACCAAATAAAGTGACTAATTCTTAAGATACTGTTTGTCTGTCAATAAGAAATGTTTTTTGTTGATTTCACAAATTCAACCTCTTGGAAAGGTCGTAGAAATACTACATGATGAATGAGTCCAGTAATTCATTAGTAATAACAGCTTCGATCAGTCATAGTTTTCCCAGGGGCAGTAGTTTTTGGTGAGCTGTCATTTAGAGGAGTCATCAGCAACATTTATATTCCTTACTTCCTGGCTAGCCCTTCAGATGTCTCAAGAGTTTTATTTGGGCTCACTATAACATCCTTTAACTATAAAAAGAAATTAAATGAAGAGTATAAAATAATCCACAGTTGTGTTGCCAGTTTGTTACTGAGTATAAGCTAAGAAGGATTAACAACCAAAATAAGTAGGCTTTTAACCCTTAGAAGTTTGTGTTCTTTACACATTCCACAAGTGATTTCCTACCCATGGCATTAAAAAAAATCTAGGTACTAGACTATTTCTTTTCCATACCTTTGTCCTGATCTTTAAATTTGCATATCTGTGTGTCTATTCAGTATCTCCATTTGGATGCCTGATAGAAATCTTAGCTATCATATGTTAAAAATACACTGCCTGTATTTGTCCCTAAATCTTTCCCACCTATAGTCTTCCCCCTTTCAGTTGATGACAGTTCTGTCCTTGCAGTTACCCAGCCAACAAACTCAATCATTAATTCTTCTCTTTCTTCTCATAGCTAGTCTATGGGGAAATCCTTCTGGCTCTACCAGTAATGTGTCCAGAGCACCTGATGTCACAAGGCACCATCATCTCTTCTTGGAATTGTTGCAGTAGCCCCCTATTAATCTCACTGCTTTAGCCTTCACCTCTGTTCACTCTGAGCACAGTAGATCCTTCTAGTTTGTGTCATGGCCCTGGGTGTTCTCCCTTTTTCCTCAAGTAAAACCCAGCTCCTCACAGTGGTCTACACTACTGCACAATCTAGTTCCCTGCTTTCTTCTGATTTTTGTCTCCTGCCGCTTCTCTTCTTTTACTTTGCTCCAGCCATACTCTTTGCTGTTCCTTCAGCATCCCACTCACAAGCCCCCCCACAACACCTTTGCACCTGCTGTTTCTTATTTTCTTTCCCTTGGCTCATACCCTCATCTCTTTCCAGACTTTCTTAAGTAACATCTTCTCAGTGAGACTTGTGTCTTCACATTGTCTTCTCTCCACCTGCCCTAGCAGCCTAACCTCTCTTATTCTGCCCTGCCCCCCTACCTCTGCAGTGCTTACTACCTTCTAACATAGTATATAATACATTTAGTTATTTCATTTCTTATTTATTGTCCATCTCACCTCTTAGATTGTACTTCCATGAGTAGGCAGAAATTTTTGTTCTGTTCACCAGTGTATTTATTATAAGCCCTTAAAAGAGTGTCTGGCACATAGTGAATTCTCAATTTATTGACTTCATTGGCAACACATTTGTTAATTTCATTGAATCTGTGAATAAGTCAGGGGGAGTAGCATTAAGCACAGCACATTGGGCTCTGCACTGGAAAGCAGCAGCATCATAGCTCAGAGAAATGGATGTTCCAGTTCTGTAATTCTGTGTTCCAAACCATCCCCAAATACTGTGGCTAAAATGGTAATATATGATTGTCTCTCACAAGTTTTGGGGGGTGATTGGCTTAGCTGGGAGACTCCCATTCAGAATCCCTTAGTGCACAGTCAGATAGTGGCTGAGGCCAGGATCATCAGAGGCCTCTGTCATTCACACAACTGATGCTGGACTGAAAACTGGAAAGCTGGGCGCTGGTGAAGCCTCTTTTTCTCCTTGTGGCATCTCTCCTTGACTAGGTTAGGCTTCCTCGCAGCATGGCAGTAGTCATCATTTCTTACATGGCAGCTTGGTTCCCATAGAACAAGTGTTTTAAGAGGTCCACCGTGTAGCTTCATAGCCTTAGAACCCTTCAATGCCCACTTGACATTGAAATATGAGCTCCACATAAATGCAGGGAAAGTACCTTAGAGAAATACTCCTGCAAAGGACTTATAGATGAAAAGCATTCATAAACAAAAAAGTTCAAGGAAAAAAATGTAAGCAATGCTGAGTCATAATTAAGATCATCTGTCAGATTGCCTGAGGTGAGTCCCGACTCCACCTCATTGCAGTTATCTGATCTTAGGCATTCAATTTCTCATCTATAAAGTGGATAAGTAAAGTTGGATTACTAGACTCTTCTGCCATTTGGCATACTTTCATGGAAAGTTTGAGACACATTAAGGAATGAAAGTTGATATAATCAAACTGATTAGTTATATCAGCAACTTTATAACTCCGGTCATGCAGCTGTAAGTTATTTATTTAAATAAAAGCAGAAAATAGCAGTAATTGATGGGTATAGTTTATGACCATGGAGAAATGCTCATTCAAGTCTTCGACTTGAGTACATGCATAGATGATGAGAAAAAATGCCACAGAAACATCTTATTAGTTAAGAGTTTGAGTTTTACCTTTCGGGTTTTTTTTTTTTTTTTTTTTTTTGCAATACTAGAGATTGAACTCAGGCCCTCATACTTCCTAGGCAGACAAGTACTGTACCACTTGAGCCACCTCATAGTCTTTTTTCTTTTTTAGTTTGTTTTTTAGATAGGATCTAACTTGGTACTAACTGTCCAAGTTGGCCTCTAACCATGATCCTCCTACCTCTACCTCTTGAGTAGCTGGAATTATAGAGTGCACCATCATGCCTAGCCCTACCATTATTAGGTACATATCTGATAGCTATTGTATATAAATTATTCCTATTACAAGTGGATTAATACTGTTATTTACTCTTTAATGATATACGTGTGCTTACTAACAAACTTTAGAAAAATCCCACTTCTTTAGGATGACTTCTGCCACCACTTAAAGTACATGTTTTTAGCAATACCAGTTTCTTGGAGAAAAGTCATGAAAAAGCTTTCAAAATAACTATTTGTGCCTATTATTCTTACAAAGCAACACTCAGTTAATTTGCCTTTGCCTATCTGTAAGTGACTAATGTTTGGACTCTTCTTGAGATTATTTCCCAATTTTATGTGAAAACATAAGTTCGTTTTGTACTAAATACAACTGAGTTCATTAAAATCATGTAGTAACATATCCTTCTTCCATTCATTTACTTTAGCAACAAGTACATTTTAATTTCTGGGTTTTAATTTTTTCTTTTTCTTTATTACTATTGCCAGGTTCTTTTACTGTGGTGGCTTAGTATAACAGAAAGATCATTGAACTGAAACCAAATCACCTGGATTTTAGCTCTCATTTATTGTATAATCTTTTGCCTATTCACATAACCATCACTATTTCCACAGTCTTGAAGTCATTAAAGATTTCAGGAACTTTTGTGCAGAACCCGAGTTTTCTGTCCATCATGAGTATTTTTGTAAAATATTTGGCATGGTGTCTGTTCTGCCTGCCTCATAGCTGTTCTTTTCACATTTTCCAGATGAATGTCCTTATTTCCACATCCCCTTTTCGACAACCCAGTGCACTCATCTGCCCAAAAATGCCTTTTTTTCTTTTGAAAGGGAGCAACCATTAAAAAGGATGAACACACTGGGGCAATCATTGTGGCTCGAATCATGAGAGGAGGAGCTGCAGATAGAAGTGGTAAGTCGGGCAAGTTGTGCCAGGTTTTGTGAGCAACCATTCCAATATATAGTTAAAAGGAGAACAAGCTTTTGATGTAATATAGAAAAACAAGTAATAAAGTATTTTTCTCTGTGTTGATCTACAGAAACCTATAGAAAGGAATGAAAGATAAATCTTACTCTTTATTCTCAGTGTACATGGCTTCCAAAGTAGTTTTAAGACCTGTTTCAATGGCATGCAGCTTTTAACATGTCTAAAATTTATAAGGTATCAGTAATATGCATTTCTTGACAATGACAAGATACTGCTATGTTTTGCTAGCATTATTATGTTGTTTTTTCGTTTTGTTTTGTGTTTTGCAGTACTGGGGCTTGAACTCAGGATCTACACCTTGAGCCCACGCCACCACCCCTTGTTTTCTTTTTGTGATGCGTTTTTTCAAGACAGGGTCTCATGAACTATTTGCTTGGGCTGGTTTCAAACAGCGATCCTACTGATCTCTGCTTCCTGAGTAGCTAGGATTGCAGGCGTGAGCCACTAGTGCTAACACTAGTTGTTACAGGCCCAGAATCTGAAGTCTAGGAAGGTTCCAGGTCTCCTTATCAATCCTTAAGTCTGATAAGGAAAATAACGATGCTTTAATTGTGGAAATGGTGCCTTTTTGTGTGTTACACTGCTGATTTCCCAAACTTATATTCCTCAGGTCTTATTCACGTTGGGGATGAACTTAGGGAAGTGAATGGGATACCTGTGGAGGATAAGAAGCCTGAGGAAATAATACAGATTTTGGTAAGCTATAAACTTAAAAATTTCTTTAAAATTGCAAAGAAAATAAAATTGAATCACTGTATTTCCAGCTCTTCAGATTTGGTTTGAAATGTAAAGGATTTGAATTTAGCAGTCTAGAATTCAAATTCTGGCTCCCATGGCTCAGGGCCTAGTCCCAGTTTTTCACTGTGAAATACTTTAGTCAGATGTGCCCTGTGGTTTTCATTCACAGAATAAAAATAAGGAGAGGAACTACCTTACTAATGTGTCTTGAGGATTAAATGAGATGATGCAGGTAGAGTTTGAGGACAGGACTCACCCTGTCCAAAGTGGGTACTAATGATGGCATCTCACTCACTGTTGTTGATAGCATTTATCTTTCTCTTCTCCTTGACAGACCCATACAGCAGGCTATGAGTTCTTGGCATATAATCATACTAATTTAGGTGTGTTATGAAATCCAAAACTTGAATGAAGTTGTTTTAGGCTAAGCAATGTTAATTCTTAAGTTCATTTGTAAGGACAAACTGGAGATTCAGACCTTTTATGTCTGAAAATGTAAGTCAATAGCATGAAAGAGAGACTTGAGTGTCTCAAAACACTTAAGATAGCTTTGTGGCATTGGAGAGGAGAGGGAGGGGTGGTAGAGCTTCTTCAGTGCTTACTTAGAATGATAGGAATAAGAAGTTCTGGTGGGCTATTGCATAGTAGGGTGACTATAGAGAATAATGATGTACTGCTTATTTCATAAAGCTAGACGAAATTTGAAGAGACTATAAAGAAATGATAAATGTTTGAGGAGATACATGTTTATCCTGGTTTAAATACTGTACAATGTAGACATATTGAAATACTGTAAGGTCCCTCTAAATATGTACAGTTTCTGTATTTTTTTGTATCAGTTCAGAAAGTAAATTTTACTTTAAAAGAGGGTATTTATAGGATCTCTTGGACATGATAGTAGGCTATGTGACAAAACGTCCAAGGAAATTGCTGTCCTAAAGAGTCATGTGTCTCATTCATTCATCTCCCCAGTCACCCCCTACTTACACAGTGAGCCCCCACTCTTCATCATACCCCATTAGTGAGCCTCTGCCAACTCCTTCTCTGTGCCAAAGAGGAAAAAAAGATGGGGCATTTTTAATCAGTGGGAAGGTGATGGAACCATTTCATAAATGTTATTGGATTAATTGATAATTCTGTTTAAGAAAACAAGAACAGTCCCCATTTTACACCACACACAAAATAAAATTCCCATTAAATTAAATATTTAAGGGTCAAGGATCACAAAAATTTATACAATAAAATATAATCTGCAGTTTTTATAATTACAGGGTATGGAAAGGCCTTTTTTTAAACCCTGTTTCAAATAGAAAAATAACATATTTATCCACTAGAAGTCAAAAGTTTCTGTGTAGAAGAAAAGATGCCATAAATGAGCTTAAAAGACAAGTGATATTATAGGAAAATATTTTCATTATAGTTGGTTTTTTAATATATTAAGATCATAAAAATCAAGAAGAAAAACAAAAATCAGTATTATTCATGTATAATTTGCAATAGAAAATGTGGTGTCTGAAAAATATTGGATTACTTGGTATTTAAAAGCTTTCTAATTCAAAGCAGTCCCTCTCTAAATTCCACTGACATTCTTTACAAAAATAGAGAAAATAATACTAAAATTAATTTAGAAGTACAAAAGATCCCAAATAGCCAAAGCAATCCTAAGCAAAAAGAACAATGCTAGAGTTAACACAATACCTGACATAAAAAAACAGATGCATAGACTAACTTAGTAAAACAGAACATCCAGAAATAAACCCACACAGCTACAGACATCTGATCTTCATTAAAGGTGCCAAAAACATATGTTGGCGAAAAGACAGCCTCTTCAACAAATGCGCTAGAAATACTAGATATTTACATGTAGAAGTCTGAGACTATATTTCTATCTCTCATCCTGTACAAAAATCAATTAAAAATGGATGAAAGAACTTAATGTTATATCTGAGACTTTGAAAACACTCGAAGATACAGGCAACAACTTTCTGATTAGAGGACTCTAGTCATTCAGGAAATATGAGCAAGAATTGACAAATTGAATCGCATTAAATTTAAAAGCTTATGTACATCAAAGGAAACAATTTCCAGAATGCACAGACCGCCTACAAAATGAAAGAAAACAGCAAATGATGCAGAATGGAAAAAGGAACCTTACCACTGTTGATGGGAATGCAAATTAGTATACCCACTATGAAATCAGTATTGAGATTCCTCAAAAAAGTAACAATAGAACTACCTTATGATCTTGCTATAATACTCCTGGACATATATGTGAAGGAATACAATGGAGATACCTCCACACCTGTGTTTATTGCAGCACTATTCATAGTAGCCAGGCTGTGGAATTAGCCTAGCTACCCATCAACCAATGAGTGAATAAAGAAAATATTATATATATACATGCAGTGGGATATTGTTCAGACATGAAGAAAAATGAAGTTATGTCATTTGCAGGAAAATGGGTGGAACTGGAGAGCATCATGTTAAGCAAAAGAAGCCAGACTGAGAAAGACAGATAGGATATTTTTCTCATGTGGAATCTCTCTCTATATATATCTACTAATATGATGCAGATGGAACAGAAACCTGTTTGGGTGGGAACCAGTAAGAGAGAAGAGGGGGAAAGGAAAAGTTGATGAGGGGTTGAATATGATCTGAATACATTATATACACACGTGAAAATGTCATAATGAAACCCATTAAATATAAAAAAAGAGGGGGCAGTGAGAGGGTGAATAAGAAAGAATAGTAGAAGGAGTTAGCATGATCAAAATACATTATATGCATGTATGGAAACACTATAATGAAACCTCTTTGTACAAGTAATATATGCTAACAAAAATCAAAATAATATCACTTGTAAGCTAAAATATAATCAAAGCTTCTTAATGCCTAGAGTTGGCCACGGTATGGGGAACTAGATTTGTTTATGAGCTTTTGATAATGGGATAAATTATTAGGACTTTTTGACATGGCCATTTGAAGCTATCAAGGTTTTAAATGTGCATGTGTTTGAGTGAAGAAATTCAATTTTTGGAAATTAACACTAAGGTAACAACTTGGCAAATATATAAGCAAAATTTTATAAATATTTGGAAACTTACCAAGAAGGATAGATTGTCCAAATAATCATTCATCCATATAATGGATTACTGGACAGCAGTCACAATGGGTGATAGACTAAATGACTTAATAACAGTAGCAATACTTACTAACATTAATTGATGCCTTAATAAATAACACTGTTCTAAGGGCTTTTCCTCCACTTGATACATACACACAACAATAACAAGGAAAATTGCTTTCTCTTTATGCAGTTTAGTATTAGGTGAATTCTTAAGATTTGTAAATTACTTTTATGATAAGCAAGAACAACAGTATTGCCATTTCAAAATAAATTAGTTCTTTATAAATTGTGTTATTTGTATAATTAAAACCCCATTTTATTTTAGTCTGTGTTGAGCTGGAACTACATTCTTTATGGCTTGCTAGAGCTGACTCTGACATTTCTCAACTGAGTGATCAAAAACTGTAGGCTGGTAAATTGAAATTGGTGGCAGCAGTTACACTGTGGGGATTGACAGACAGCACATGTTGGTGTCATCTCTCCCCCCTTAATGGAATCCTGGTTTTCCAGCTCACTTCTCATAGTGAGCCTCAGAGAGATGGCTTCTTCTTCTTGCCCTTTCCATCCCTGCATACTTCTTTCCTTCTCTATCCATTTGACTCACTTTCCTATTTCCTATTCCCGTTTCCTGCCTCCCACTCTCATCTCTTCATCTCTTTTAAATATGTGCCAGGTATTTAGTGCTTTTTATGGAGCTTACAATTTGCAGGAGTAACATATTAAGAAATAGTTGCACAAATAATTGTGGCTGTGATCAATGCTAAAAAGAGAGAGACAAGTTGAAAATATATTCAAAGAGAGACATGCCCTTGCTGAGATAGTCAGCAAAGGATTGGGGGAGGGGTGCTGTTGTTTATTTTTGCTAGAATAAACAGTCTTTTTCATCTTTTAATGAATCTATTATATTTGATATTTTCCTCTCTAACCAAAATGCAGCAGACATGAATGTTGTTTATTGTTTTTTCTGATGGGCATTGCCACTAAATGAATCCTGTATTTACAACTGTAATACTGACAGTATAGATCTTTTATGTAATAGACTCATCTTTGTGCCTTATCTATTCAAGTCATTTAACAATGTCTTTATTTAAGTCACTGTTCATATTTTGTGTTTCTATTTTGAAGTAAGTTGACATGGATGGTAATATATTCACTGACACCTTAAAAGTGCACAGGAAGTAAAAGTGGATTTAGTGGTTAATGGTTTTTAACTTATTTGAGAAATTTTAGAGTGTTCTTACATTACCAGATTTTCTACAGAAAATGGTTTTCTCAGTTTGTTGTAAGAGTAGTCATCTTCCAAGTAAGCTTGTAAATTCTTAGATGCATTTGGCTTGCTATCTGTTTTACCTTACTTGGCTTTGGCTCCCAGTTTTCTAATGACTTTTTCTTTCACCTGATACTAGGCTCAGTCTCAGGGAGCAATTACATTTAAAATTATTCCCAGCATCAAAGAGGAGACACCATCTAAAGAAGGCAAGGTAATTAAATTGCTTAAAAATGTTTTTGTGCATTGGGGAGAAGTAATGTTCTTATTTGATTTAATATGCATCCACTTTGTCACCACAAATATATCTTAAGATTCTATTTTTTAAAATTATTTCTAAAATCTAAGTTGCAAGAATGTAGGTCATTCCACATTTATTTTTTATATGTATTCTTCTTCAATGAAATCTTCCAGATGTTTATCAAAGCTCTTTTTGACTACGATCCGAAGGAGGATAAGGCAATTCCATGTAAGGAAGCTGGGCTTTCCTTCAAGAAGGGAGATATTCTTCAGATTATGAGCCAAGATGATGCAACGTGGTGGCAAGCAAAGCATGAAGGTGATGCCAACCCCAGAGCAGGCCTGATTCCCTCAAAGCACTTCCAGGAAAGGTGAGCTAGTGGCACAGATCACTGGCCTTTCTTCAACTGACCTTTTGTTCTCTGCAAAATTATCATTCCAGCATGGTTCTGATAAAATGAGCTTTAAAACCCTGCCTTAGAATTCATTATCCCTTGGGTTTAGATTTCTGTTTTGTCTAACTATGCGTGAAAAATGACCAAAAACAACACGATAGTACCAGCTCATCTTAAGCTTTTGTTGTGAAGTGAATGGAATTAGCACATTAATATTGGAATCCATGTTGGGGTGAAAGGTGAGGGAACAAAAAAGAATAGTCATTTCTGGAGAAGGGGAGATAACTTACAGAAATTTGAAAGTAGAGGATTTATTTCTTCATTTGAACAGATTACATTGTGTTCTTTTTCTCCACATGTTCAAGTTTTTTCTGAAGATTTTTAATATTTTGGTGTTGTGTTAACCTTGAACCTGAAAATTAATAGGCATATTGACCTTTTCTTCCCTCAGGAGATTGGCGCTGAGACGATCAGAAATACTAGTTCAGCCCCTGAAAGTTTCCAACAGGAAATCATGTAAGTTTGTTCGTAAGAATGTAGAGTAATGGAATCCGGTTGTTTATTTTTGACTATTAAAGCAGGTGCTCCCAGACAAAGGGGTCACATTATCTTGCAATAGCTTTTAGATCATCGTTTCTCAGGAGCCAAGCATATAAGATATTCACAGTAGGAATATTATTATGAATCCTTTGAAGTGTAGTAGGACTCACTCTCTTGAAAATAACTAGTAACTACTACTCTCTTTGATTTCTATATTTAGTTTTTTAATAAATGTAACCTAGAAATCAAATTTTTTCTTTCTCTAAAGCCAGGAAGTTGGGTAAGACATTTCTTGGGAAAGATAAGGAACAAAAAACATTCACTACTTTTCTGGGCACGAAAACATTTGTGCCTAAGAACAGCTGTGCTTCTTAATTACTTTTTTAGCCATAAATCATAGTAACTGACCTTTATCCTGTCTGGTTGGAGTTATCACCAGACTAAATTGAAGAAAAATGAAAGTAAGAAAAAGGGTGGTGTAGAACTACTGAAAAACATAGTGTGGATTTTTAAGAGCTTTTTTCTTTCAGCTGACCTTTCTCTCAGCTTTACTTCTCTCCTTCCCACCCTCTCAAGTCTCCATCTCATAAATTTCTACTTCTTCTCCCTGAAATGTCTCATGGTTCTAGGTATTTCAAGAGATTTTTTGTTTTGTTTTGTTTTTTGAAATTCTTTTCTTGTAGCATAAAAATCATACATTAAAAAGCACAATGAACAAATAAATGGTCCTGGAATTTTACATCAACATCTGTTTTTAGTATTGTTGCATTTTCACATCTCCTGTTATTTCTGTCAGTTTGTAGAAGCTTATAGCTCAGGAGTTACATAGTGAGAGAGCCAAACTGCAGTCAAGTATATGTCGCACAGCAAGCAAATACTTAAGTGGAACACTGATTCAAAAGCCTGCCTGTTCTTGCTACATTAAGTCTGGGCAGAAGGAAAAAGCACTTACCAAGATGCCTGTGGCATTCTAAGACACCAGAAGGGGTAAAGTTTAATGTTGCATTGTTTCTAAGTATGGAGACTTCATTGGCAACTCCTCCATCTGAAAGGAACTTTGAGACATCCACCTGACTTGCTCTTTGAGGGGTGTTTGATTATTAACTTGCACAATTGTAATATACTTGGTACCTGTGCAATAAGACATGTCGCTGAAAAATACGAAATGTGCCTGTGTTCAAATCTGAATCCATATTCAACTTTGTATGAATCATAGCTACTTAGAAATTTGTAGTGTAATATAGTATGAATTTTTATTTGTTTAAAACTTTTAGCAATTGTGTATATGTTTCTGTAAAAATTATAAAGAAGGGATAGACTATTTTCAATAGTTCTCCCCAACTAGTCTCATTGTAGTTGTGTGTTCGTTTGACCATGAGAGGGTGTGTGTGAGTGTGTATGTGTGTGTATATGTGTGTAGAGGTGTTAATTGTAATGGCATATTTTTGTTCATTGTTTGCATAATTTCTTTTTTATGTTAATACTTCAATATTTGAATCTGAAAAATATTCCAGGATTTTTCTTGCTGAAATGTCCTCATTTAAATTTTTTTTCTCCCTTTTTCTGGCTCTTACAGAAATTATGGCTAGGGATGTAACTACAGAGAGAGAGACAGAGAGACAGAGAGACAGAGAGAGAGAGAGAGAGAAGGAGGATAGGAGGGAAGATGAAAGGGAGGCAGGGCAGGCTTGCTAGTTTTATCTTCCTTTATTTCTTGTCTTTTCTCTTTTTCTCTCTTTTTAAACTTAATTTTGATTCATTGAGAGGTATATTATTTCTTCTCAGATAAAGATGTTATTTAGTTTTAAATAAATCTTGCCAGTATATCCAAATAAATCATCAGTATCTAGTAAATATGGCTTTGTTCAGAGACAGTACATTCCTGTGAAAATTGTACAAAACCAGTGCTTTTATTGTCATAGAATTGAGGACTGGGAGTATGGCTCAAGCGGCAGAGCACTTGCCTAGTAAGCATGAGGCCCTGGGTTCAATCCCCAGTACTGAAAGAAGATTTAAAAAAAAAAAAAAAAAAAAAAAAAAAGGAAAGTCATAGAATTGAAATTCTGTTTAAATTTTTATGAATATTTTCTCAGAAATTACAAAGTTATACAGAAATCAGTATGGCGGTACTGAATATTTTTAATGACATTTAAAAACACATATTTGGTCACATTGTTTATGTATGGCTGTGCTTGTCAAGGCCTCCTAACCCACTACTTTTTTAAATTTCAACATTTGTCTCTTAGAGTTTTTGAGTAGGAAGTTCATGTTACTGTGCCCTTTGCTAATTTATAGTATAGTAGTATGAAGAAAGTTGGTATAAAATCAGTTATATGACCTTGAATATTAATTCATAAAATAGGGTTTTAGAATAGTTTCTGACTTAAGGTTAATTTTGTTTGTTTGTTTGTTTGGTTTTGGTTTTGGAGACAAGGTCTCATTTTATAGCCCAGGCTAGCTTCAAACTAGGGAAACTTCTGCCTCATCCTTCTGAGTACTAGAATTACAGGCTTGCATCACAATGCCTATAATGTTAAATTAAATGTTAAATTTCTGACAGAATAATTCTTTCAGGTTGGTCTTTATAACGTTATGAAAAAATACAGTGGCAAATATTTTCAGCATTAGATTTTGCAAGTATATTTGAGACCTAGGAAGGTACTATAAGCACTGGATTTGAAGTATGAATTTAGTCATGTAACAATATATGATCACATTAGCCAATTACCTTTTGGTACTGCATGATTGCTTATCTGACTATGATTTTGCTGTTTATTTGATTCATAAGTGTATCATTATAACTGGTGTTTTCATGGTGAAAAGTTCATGGACAATGATTCTGAAATTATAAAGGTTCAGTTAATATCAACATAGAAGGCAAAAAGGAATGGGGAGTTCTAATCTTGTCATTTATGCATTTATATTTGTGCAAGAGCTCTGGTTCCTGGCTCCAAGGTAAATGGATTCAGGAGTCATGATAACAATGATCTCTGGAAAGTAGCATCCTTAATGTAAAACTCTTAAGTAAGTGGTATCCATCTTTAATGCTTGCTGTTCTCTCCCCTTAAGAATCTTGCATAAGGGCTGATGGAGAGGCTTAAGTGGCAGAGTGCCTCCTTAGCAAGTGTGAGGCCCTGAGTTCAAATCCCAGTGCCACCAAAAAAAAAAAAAAGAATCTGGCATATCTGATACATATCCAGAAAACGGACTTCTCAAACAAACTAACTTGCTTCTTAAAACTAAACATTCCTGAAAACTAATATAAGAACCTTTATAATGAAAATATTCTTAAACCTTTGAAACTTGACATAGGGACTCAGCCCCTCTTCTCCCTCCTCCTGTTTTTTGAAAAAACTGCTTATCCAACAAAAGATTTATAATAGAAATGTGTTTTCCTTCCCTCCATCACCTGATAGGGCTCCCATATAATATATTCATGTGGGTAACACAGAACAGACTAGATATCTGATAGATTTCCTTTGATATGACTAGCTCTTGGATTACTATATAAAAGAGGCAGCTTAAGTGTTCTGGAAATGGCTAAAAGCAAGTCTTGTGTCTCAAGTAGCATGTAGGACTAGTTTTTCATGATAGGAACTTTGCAACTTGCATTTCTTGTGTTGAAAGTAACTATTTTTGTAGTAGTTGTATATATAAAGCATGTAATACCATCCTAACCTTTAAAGAAGAAATAGGAATTTCTTTGAGATATTGTTTGTTCTTTTTCTATTGAAATATAAATATGTAAGTTAAAAATTACTTTCCTGCTTGCATGAATATTAATTTAACTTCAGAAACATGTAATTTATATTTAAATTTGGTATTTAAGTCCTTCAGAAAGGATAGAGAAAAGACTCCTGCTTACACATTATATTTTACAGCAGAATATTCAAGTATGATTTTATTTTCAGTGCTTAATTTCCTTTTTTAGTTATCAAAGTATAAATACCTGGGTATTTCTAAGACAGCAGTTTGAATAATATTAATTTGAAAGTTTCTGTAACAAAATAGCTCTTACAAAATTCTTGTCATAAGAGAAGCAAGAATGCACATATTTTTGTCATTTTTAAGGCTTAGACCATAAAAACAAAATATTTTATTTTTTAATTTGTTTTAACCAATTGTGGCTGTTAGCATATAGATAAAAAAGAAAGCATTTAAATACAAACAGAGAGTGTCCATTAAAACAAGGAGTAACCTTGTTCATTCAACAAAAAAGCACATTGTGGATTGAGGATCTCAATCTCTAAAAAAAGGACATTGAGTAAAGCAACGAATTCACTGTGTATGGTACCAATATGTACAAGGCCACACATTCAAGGATAGCATGACAGAACTCTACAGGTTGTTGTAATAATGCTTTTCCAGTTAAGTACACTCCTTTCTGGTATCTTCATTAGTGTTTGTTTAGTATTTTCACACATAAAGTTAATTCAGAAGCAAGGAGATGGCATATGTTGTTAAAATTATGTTGGTATGTCTAAAACTTTGTCAGATATTTTCTTACTATTAGTGGACTTTTGTTGTGAACAGATGCACATGGAGTTTTAAAAAATAACCTATTAGTATTCTCTCACCTAGTCAACTTTCCATTTCTTTCACAAACATATGAGATAAATCACCTTATACAGAGAAAAGGTTTATTTTGGCTCACAGTTATAGAGGCTCCAGTACATGATCTGTTGTCCTCTTTGTTTTTGGGCCCATGATAAGGCAGAATGTCATGATGGGGAATTTACCGTGGAACAAAGCTGTTCATGTCATGGTTAGGATGTTCAAGGGCACATGCCCAATGACCAGAAAACCTCCCACAACTAGGCTGCTCTTAAAGTTTCTACCATTTCCCATAGGTTGACTCTGGACCTTGAGGGGACATTCCAAATTCAAATTACAGGCACCCTACTACTTACTGGTAGTGTTTGGAAGATTCTAAAGTTCAGAGTTTGTGTGAAAAGAGGTGCAGATGAACTAAGATA